TTTCCCAGCTCCTCTTTTACCCGTGTGGCCAGCAGTTGATACCGGTTGTCTGGACTAACTGGCCCAGGAGTCGGAGGCCGGTCCGGCGGGAGAGCGAAGCCTTCTTGGTGGAAATGCTATCCAGATCCACATTGGCTGTGATAGCAAACGCAGCAGCGCTTAACTCACAATGCCCCATCATGTGGCGCTCCTCTCTGTTTGCCCATCCAAATCAATACCTCACGGCTTCATGTCAGATTGTTGGTTTTAGGGCCTTAGGGCTGGTTTTTTTTCCTTTTAAAAGAAAGCTGCCTCTTTGGGGGCTTCTCACTCAATGAAGTTCCACTGTTAATAATTTACATGATGAAGTGGACTCCGGTGAAAGAGGACAGCCAGGAAGCAGATGGAGATGCCTGGGAGGGTGGCGGAGGGCAGGGTGCGAATCCACTTCTGCAGAGCTCTGCGCACTTGTGCCTTGCAATGTGGTAGTGCACTGTTACTCCCCCTCCAGCACCATTTATGTCCCTGAGATCCCTTCTGGCTGCTGTCTTTTGCTGCTCCTCTTCTGTCAATGGGGACAAGAGCCAGGAGGAAATCCTGTGATGTCCTGTGATGTCGGAAGAGCACAAGGTGCATCCTCCCAGATCAAACCCTGGATGCCCTTTGTCCAGCCTGCTGTTGCCACACTGACCATTGAGTAGCCCACCAGGAAGAGGAGGGCATGAGGGCAACTGCAGCTCCCTTCCTTTCATTCAACGGCACACTCTCTCTGGTGCTGCAGCCACTGGTGGCCCTGGGCTCCGTAGATTTAGCCAGTCCCCCTTTTAAAAGCCGTCACAGCTGGCAAGCATCATTACCCCTGGGCTGGTGCTTGAGAGCCTACATTGGGGCCACATGCACCATGAGTTACACTTGTGTTGACTGGCAATGCTGTGCAACTGAACCAAGGTGCCAAATGCGCAGTCAAATGCAGAACCAGATATGCATGCCAGGCCCAGGTGTTCCTGGGGTTTGGTGGGACCAATAATGAATGAACATTGTGAGAAAGTTTAGCTGGCTAGTACTGTGAAGACAGTTGCAATGGTTTAATTGTGCAACAGTGTGCAAATCTAAACCAAAATTCAAACTCAGCTTCCTCCTCCTCCTCTTCCTCATCATTATTCTGTGCTGAAACAGCACAGGCATGGTTTCCCAAAGTTGTACACATCCCTCGAAACACTGCTGGAGGACTTGTCTGTAGAAATCCCACTTCTTAGCAGCTATTGTGGCATACCTCACAGCCCCAAATAAAAACGCAAAATGAATAATAATAATAATAATAATAATAATAATAATAAGTTTTATTTATTATTATTTATACAAAGGCATCATAGAAACGCCAATTAATCTGTAGGGGATGCACATGGACAACACACATCCAGGCAAAATTGTGCTGCAATGCACAGCCCCTCTTTTGCAGCCTTGAACCAAATGCTGCCGTTCTGCAGCCGATAAAAAGGTCCAGCCACTTCTGTAGGGGAATGTATACAAGTGTCAGCCATGCTGTATGGCCCCAGTCCACTCACGCCTCCGTGGCTGTGGGAGGGTGCCTCCTGCAAAAGCCCAGGATGGGGGGCCCACGGACCACCCTTGACCTCAGGAGGGATCACCCCTATCAAGGGGGCTGTATGGGAACTATTATGTGTTCCTCCCTTTGTGGCCGGCCAGGGAAGGGATGCGCTGCCCTTGGGGCCAGTTGGGCCCGGCCTTGACGTTTCATTATGTTGATTCCTACTGGCACGAGTAAAAGTTGTGGACGAGAACAAGCCAAAAAGGGGATGGAGGAGAAGTAACCCATAAATTAAAAGAATAACCGTATGGGCCAACAAACAGCACAGCGCAGGAAGCAAACAAAGTCACTCCGATAAACACATTTGCTTTGATTTACACGGCTGTGGTAATCCTCGGAGCAATCCGTTCCTTTAGTTGGTTGTTTTGTTTGGGGGATGAAGGACAAAATCAATGCCAGAGCTTTTTATTCTTTTAATAAGGAGATGAGAATCCCCTCCACGCTGCTTTCCGGCCTTTCTCGGGATGCGCTTTCAAAACCCATATAAATCTGTTGAGGGATCAGGCCATTCCCTCCTTTCTTTCCTTCCTTCCTTCCTTCCTTCCTTCCTTCCTTCCTTCCTTCCTTCCTTCCTTCCTTCCTTCCTTCCTTCCTTCCTTTTCTCCTTCTTCCTGGAGGAGGGTTTTCCTCAAGAGACCTTTGAGTTTTGGCTCATAAACCTGGCTTTCTACAGTCGTCCTCTCCTCTCTTTGCCCTTCATGTTTCTGTAAACAGAGTCAGTAATTGCAGGCCTTTTGGTGATCTAATGCTTGGCCATGCTGTGTGTGTTAATGGGCAACTCAGGTGTGTGTGCGTGTGTGTGTGTGTTTGCACATGGGGTAGGGATGGCATGCAGGGCAAAATGTTTGAGATAAATACTAATTAAGACTGGTAACGAGAGAAGACCATCAAGCAGCCCTGGCAAACACCTTGGCATCATTTTAGGGATGCAAATGCATTGTCTCCCACTCTCAATGGGATTGCAAAAAAAAAGCTGCGTCTTCCTTGTCTATGATGATAATTTATCATCACAGTGTTGATTAAAAGTGTTTCTTAATTACTCTTCTGCCTCCTGGGGCTCCCCAAATGTTACTCAACGCAACAGAAAACCGTGGCAAGACACCAAAGAGGGGCGGAGGAGTGTGGCCCCCCATGCCATTCCCATTCCCATTCCCATTCCCATTCCCATTCCCAAGCCAGAAGCGTGGAAGAGGATGTCGATGGCCGAGAGAACCTCTACAAAACACTCTGTCAATATCATCTGACACCTAATCAATGGAGCCCTACGGAGGCAGGGGAGGACCGGGGTCCCTGACGTGAAAACAACAAGGCTTAATTTTATGCACATGAGGCGGCGGGAATGTCCCCATCTTAATGATTTTTGGGGGGGAGAGGTTATGACTTCCATGTGCCGTGTCAATAATTACCCTTGTTTCTGTGTCAGGCGGCCCTTTTGACAGCCTTGATGGGTTGTGAAGAGATCAACCTGAACTCAGGGAAACGTTTCAGGCTCCACAGACAGACAGACAGACAGACAGACAGACAAAAAGACAGACAGGGAGACAGACAGGGAGACGGTGGCTTGAAAGTTCAAGGCCAGAAACTAGAGGAGATGGAGACAGACAGCCCTCTGTTTTACTTTGAAAGGCTGTTTTTGCAAAGTCAGAGCTGATGGAGGACGTTAACCAGACCTTGGGGAAATTACCACTTTGGACTACAAATCCCAGCATCCCCAAGCCAGCGTGGCCGCTATTTCAAGCTCTGGAGTGGACACGCTGTGGCTGAGGATTTGCATCAGGGTTTCACAGAGCAAATCTCTGCTTGTGAAGTTGCACATTAATTGTGCTCCATAAGCCTTGCATGCAATGACCGACCCAAAACACCAAAAGTGCAACCGAATGCAAATGCACTCTCGTGTGCGACGGCACCACATACGCAACTCTGCCTTTGCAATCTTGAGTAGGATGTGGCTGTTCTGCACCAGACAAAAATGTCCAGGCACTTTGGTAGGAGAACTTATGTCCGCATAAGAAACCCTTGTGTGTTGAAGAAGCCCTGCACAAATGATGGCATACCCCCCCTACACACACACACAATGTCTGTCACCCTTTTATTGACTTCATGAGAAAGAGGTAAAGCTCACAGGAGTTTGTCCTTGTTATAATTTTATTACGTTGTAAAATGTGGTTCCCTTTTGACTCATTTTTTTTTAAATCTGTGCTGTGTGTTGTGTTTTTTTGCTCTGCCCAACATTGAATTAGTGACCCCCTATGAATGAGCATCAAAGGGCCTTCGACCTCAAAAGTCTTTGTTTTAGAGGAATTGGACAGAGGAAGCCTGTGGCCCCAAGGAGATCATCTGCAGGCAATAGAAGGAAGGTCTGGACAAGAGCTGGTTGGACTACAACTCCCAGTATCCATCAGAGGCCCAAAATGAGTCCATTTGCAGAACTCTTTGGTGACGCCAGGGAAGTCCTTGGAGCAGCTGGGTGAAAGCATAACAATATCATAAAAAGAGTTGGAAGACAAATTCTCCCAGCAATCCTCATCTATTGCATTTATCGAAGGGTTCTTCTCTGAAGTTACCCAAGCTTAGCCATTGATCTGCGGAAAGCCTCTTGTAATTTGGAAGCATTTATTTGCCTGTGTCCTGTGTTTGTTTTCTTATAATGTTTCTAATCTACTTCTTCTTCTTCTTTTTTTGGTAACAAAACCTTCCTCAGCCTTGAGCCTTGTCTCATCCTTTGTAGCTTTGAGGTTTGCAGCCAACTGCCCCTTAACTGGTCAGCTGGTCAAGCAAAGAGGATTCCCTTGCCCTCCTCCGTCTCTTCAGCAAGTACTAAATAAATGATGTTTTTGTGGCTTAGCTGTTGCTTGAGATCTAGGATTTTTTCTTTCCAGACACACTTTTTCTTTCCATCACAGGGGCACCTTCTTAAGGAGCTGGCCAAGGACTGTGCCGTCCTTGCTGCGATCTTTTGTAAAACAACACCTTGGTGTATTTATTTTGGGGCAGGTTGCATCCTTCCAAGTAGGACTGGGCTTTGTAGGCTGGGCATCCTCCTGAGTCATTCAGCAAATGAACCGATGGTGACACCTGGATGGAATTACCTGGCATGTATCCACAGTACAAAATTAAAGCAGTTTGACACCACTTTAACTGCCATGGCTCCATCCTGTAGAATCCTGGGATTTGTAGTTTGGGGAGCTATTCAGCTATTCTGGTCTGTCAGAGAGTCCTGGTGCACACTGAGGAGAGAGGCGGAAATGAAGAGAGCCACTAATTCTCTTTGAATTCACTTTGTTGTTGTGCGTCTTCAAGTCATTTCCGACTTGGGATTTTCTTGGCAAGATTTGTTCAGAGGGGTTTTCCCTTGGCCAACCTCTGAGGCTGAGAGAGTGTGACTTGCCCAAGGTCACCCAATGGGTTTCACGGCCAAGCAGGAATCGAACCCTGGTCTCCAGAGTTGTAGTCCAATGCTCAAACCGCTCTGCCACGCTGGCTCTCTTTTCTTAAGATTTGACAAACAAACTTTGGACCTGGGGTAGAACTGAGCAAGGTGAGGGTACGATCGTAACATTTTTATGGATGAATTATAAAACCCCTAAAAATAGGGTTTTACGGTGGAAACGCTGACACAAACTTAACTCTGGCAGCCTCTGTGCAAGGCAGTAATAAATGAGGCAGAAGAGCAAAGTGCTCCTTTTAATTTATCATTTAGTAGGAGGGAAAGCCTTGTTTACTTCTTCTTTTTCATCTCCTTCTCTGCTCCTAAGACTTCCAGCCATTATTCTGAACTGCATTTTATCATAAATCCACAGCAGTTGTGTTGCCTAGGGCTTTGGTGTCCATTTGAGTGAATAAGAGGGAAGGAGAGAGGGAGGGAAAGAAGGAAGGAAGGAAGGAAGGAAGGAAGGAAGGAAGGAAGGGTTGCTGTTTTATTTCTTCTCTGTGTGTGTGTGTGTGTTATTTTATTTCTTAGCTCTATTTTTTTAAAGCAACCAAGCAAGGAGACTCATTTCTGTCAACGTATGGCTCAGCCGTGGTCTTTTTACAGATGAGGATTTCTCCAAAATGGTGTTGACTTGAGATCCTGAAGTCAATGTTGGGCCAACAATGGTGACTCTCGCCTGCAGTTTTCTGGTGCTGTGTTAAAGCAATCCATGGGCATGGAGAAAAGTTTTCCTCTCCACCCCAAGTGATGATGCTCCCCAGCAATCCTCTCCCGCATCCCATCCTCAGCCTTTGCATATTTGGTGCCCAGAGACAAAGGTCTCTCTGCCATTTCGAAGCTGTGCCAGTCCAATGAGAAACGCCTCTTGCTGTCTCCCATGCCCGCCTTGGACTGGGATGAGGTCAAAAGGCATTTTCATTCTGCCTTCTTTGGAAACCCATTTGGGCACCCTCCTGTCTCTGCCACCTCTCAGTCCAACCCATGCCCAAGAGAGGGGCTTTCGCCTGCAGCCCCTCGCCTGAAAGCTGAGCCATGCCATGGGGACCCTCTGGCTTCTCCGCTGTGCAAACAGATCCATAGACAGAAAGATGGATGCCTAGATCCAATTTCCTGCTAGTCTGTGTCTGTTTTGCGCACTGGGGATGGGGTCCTCTTCTGGCCCAAGGGCTATTTAACCATCGTTTCCCCATTGGAGATGGCACCATCTTGTTTGGAAATAGGGAGAAAATTGCACCTGCCAGGAATGGTCGATGCAAGTGGACCCCAGGGCTGGTTTCATGGACCCCAGGTACTAAATTGGGGAAAAAATATCTAATTTTTTTTAAATATTAAAAATCTGCAAGGACTCTAGGGGTCAGGGGTCAATTTCACCACATTTGCCCCATTTTAGACCAGCAGGGGCCTTTTTTTTTAAAAGGAAGTTAACTGGAAGTGACTTCATAATCACTCTCTGTTATAAAAGAAGGTCTTTTCTTGGGCCTAAAATGGCACAAGGGATGGCAAAGACCCGGCACAAATGCCTCTAAAAGGTATGGGAGCATTTGGGGGCAAAAATATGGTTTTCTGCGGGGGTTTTGCAGCCTCCCGGGTGCCATTTGAGCCCCCTAAGCCTCACCAGTCATCTCTCCTGTTTCAGGGGAAGGGTGGCTTCCTGACCCACCTGCCTTCAGATCCCCAACTGATTTTCTGGGATCCTGGGAATCCCTCTGCACTGAAAATGGGAGAGAACAATATGGGAGAGGATGGATGGATGGATGGATGGATGGATGGAGCAGACCAAGGACAGAGCGAACGGCTGGGGAGACTGCTTGCTGGCTCTTCTTGTGTGCTGGAGGTGCACCATGGTCTGTTTCTGACGATGCAAAACATAAAAATGAAATAAAATGAAAATCCTGCCTGCTCTAGAGGCAGAGAAAGAGCCTCCCTCCTGGCCAGCTGGCCCTGCAACCCTTAAGAAGGAAGGCGGCTTCCGAGAGGGAAATAATAAGAGCCGGGGAAGAAGTGGCAGCTTGGAAAGGATGACCTTTATTTGCAATCATAGCTGAGATTTACAGTTTATTACTGATAGCTTTTATAAAGAGCCATTCAGTTCAGAGGTGAGAGGTTTGTCATCTGGAAATGCAATTAACTTTAGCCGTATCCCAATCCCCTTGGTCTTACGGCGGCGGCGAGAGCGGCACTTCGGCAGGATCAGGGGTTTCCTTCTAATTTCATCCAGGCCCCCACCTAGATCCAGTGCATCCCTGGAAATTAACATGGCTGCATATTCAGGGACCTCTGTTTTCTTTGTATTTGTTGCTGAGATACAGGATCAGAGGCTTCACAAAAGGAACTAATGGCGTCCCCTCATCTCTCACCTTTTTTATATTCTTCCTCCTTCCCATCCCCTTTTTTGGAAAGAGAAAATTTCTTGGAAGAGGAACCTTTTGAAGAACAAAGGCAGGAGGACCTTAGAAAAATGGCACATGCATCCACATTTAATTGCAAGAAATGAACACCTTGATTATTTTTTTAAGGCGCTAACGAGTTGTATATGGTATGTACAATGGCCTCCTTTCGCTTCCAGGAAAGCAGCCACATGCCTGACCCTAAAAGCATTTTGAACTGCAGGGGGTAAAACTCTCTTGCAAAATCCACCATTCTTCATGGGTAGTTATTTTTGACCCTCATTTCATTTATATGCCCACCTTTCCACTGGAAACAGTCCTCAAGGCGGCTGAAACACAATAAAATGCAAGCTAACGTACAAAATTATAATTAAAACATAAAAGCAAGTCAACTAAACTCACATCAATAATAGAAGAAGAAGAAGAAGAAGCAAGGGAGTGTTCTCCAGTTACAACCTGGTTAAGACCTTGAAAACACACATTTACTGTGACTTTAATGCAATTGCAAAGCTGACTCTTGTTTAACCTCAGCAAAAGCATCAGCTCTGTTAGAAACCCCATAGTCCCTTCCGTTGCCACTCCGGACGCTTTCTCTTTCTCTTTCTCCCCTTCCCTTTTCTTTCCCAGTCTTTCTCTCAGTCCGTCCATCTCTGCTGCTCATTCCACCTTTTCTGCTCCTTACTCTCCTCCCTCCAAATGCCAGGCAGAGGAATTTATTCTCTCTCTGTCTCTCTACTGTTTGGATAGTTCCAGGCCCTGCAAAAGGAAGCAGTACATGGATTTGCCTTGAGGCCCTCCAAAGAAGCAAATCTCCTGTCTCTTGGAAAGATGAGGAGTTTTTTTCCTTGTCTCTTGGGAAAATGGTAGAGAAAATGGCCCCAGTATGACAACGTGTACAGTCAGGTTTTTCTGCCTGTTGGCACTTAAGACTCTGGCTCCAAATGGCACACTCTCTTTACAGCAACAAATCCCATTATTCTCAACTAAAGGGTAGATGAATGAGGTGCAGGACTGCCTTGTCTCAATGGGATCTGTGGCTGTGGATCCTGCCCTCTGGATCAGTGGCCAGGAGGCCATTTTCCACGTGGCCAGCATGGGTCAGCCCAGAATGGCCCCTTCTTGGACGTCTTCCTACTATGGCTTTTCCTCAAAGGAACTTGGCTGACAGAAAGAGAGTCTGGCTGAGATCCTAGTCTGCACCTCCATGTATAGATGAATGGAGTGTGTTGCACACAATAAATAATGGCTGGAATTCTGTTGGGGCCTTATAGGGTCTTTCTAAGTATACTACATCTGCAGGAAGCAGAATTGCACAGTTATGTGACATCCGTTTCCAGGAGAGGGCTGCTGTTAGTTTACTACTGCATAGCAGAGACAGGAAGTGACCGTTTCAGTGCCCCATGCTCATCAGTGCACAAGGCACATTGATGTGCAGTGCAAATCGGTACACAAATGTGCATTGTGCACAAATGTGTATTGTGCAGTGAAATGCACCACACAGTAATGCTCATTGCACACAATCGTGATGCACATTGAGCGCTCTTGCAAGTGTCCCATACACGTTTTCACAATTCATTAAAGGAGTTTCTTAGTGCCTCTGCTACATAGCTAGATATACGTAGGTAAATTTATTGGGCTGAAGGCAACATGGCACTACTCCGTGCACAATGTACTTCACGCCCATGTCCATTTCTTCAACCTTAACCTGAATGCACTGGACTAAATGGTCCAACAGTCTCTTCAGGGGAACTGATCGATTGTTTAATATGATTTCTCCTCATATGGGACCCAAACAGGATCCGCACCTGGGTGCTGCTGCTTTCCTCACCTGGGGCAAGGAACAAAACCTACTAGCATTCGCTCTGCTTGTGAAATCTCATGATGTTACGATGCCGTTATTAAAAGTCTGCCGGTTACATTTTGTTCATGGAGATACATTTGACAAGTTTTGCTTTAATCTGCAAGAGAGAAATATTGGGAGCAATTCTACATAAATTATAGCCCACTTTCAATAACAGCCAGGCGCTCCATCTACTTATTGATATAATTAAAGCTGGATTAGTGGGGTGGATTATGGAGTTTTATTTTATTTTTGAAAGTCATCTGGGACTTCCCTCACTCAGTTCACTCCCGGCACAACTTTATTACCAATGCTGAGATCAGGACTCTAAAGTTTGGCTTATGCTTTAATTTTGGATTTTTTTAAACCACTTTTTAGTTTCCTAAAGATCTGTTCAAATCAAGGCTGAAGAAACTGTAGCCCTTGGTCCATGTATGGCCCCCATTCCCAGCCAAAGGCTCTGGAACCCTAGCATTTTTTAAAAGGTCCCAAATGGTAGAAAACGCTGAAATCCTAAATGATGCCCAAATGCAGTCCTTTGCTTCTCACCCCCCCCCCCCGGCCCAAAGCACAAATGTGGGCCAAAAATCAACCAGGAAACCCGTAACTTGGAAACAGTAAACAAGTTTCAATCACTTTGGGGTCCATTTTCAACAAATATTCCCCTCTTCGCCTTAAAGGGCTTTCCTCTCTGGCCTATTTTTGTGCAAAATCTGTGGCCCTCAGAGGGTCCCAGGGGCCATAGACTGCCCTCTGGCCCCATCACAGTTGCCCAGCCCTGTTTGCAAAGTCTCTTGCAAACATGGGGCTCCAGCATGCGTC